TTTTTTTTTTCTCTTTTTCACTCAATTAAGTTCCAGGGATTGTCCTACAAAACTTGATATGTATGCATACCAGTAGAAAAAGTAACCTCAGAATGAAAATGTGAAGATACCTGAGATGGAGCTAGGCTGTTGAAGAGTGGTGGAAGAGAGAGTAGTGGCTAGAGTTGGACTGTCTGGAACGACTGGAGTCGTTGGACTACTTACAAGAAGTGGAGCTCAAGCCTCAAGGACCGCTGGATGTTGGAGAACAAAGGAGAGATCTGCAATCTAAAATTGCAGGGCTTAATGAAGAAGCCTAAGGAGAGAGAGCAGCGGCTGGATGCTAGAGCTGGAGAACAAAGGAGAGATCGGTTGGATGCTAGAGAATAGAGGAGAGATCTGCATGTGCGATCTAAAATTGCAGGGTTCAAGTCAAGAAGAAACCACCCCTAGCCAAAACAATCCTTTTTTTTTTTTTTAATTCTTGCATAATGTACCGGTCTAATTTCAGTGTATTGGTCGATACACAAAATTTCGACCAATACATCGAAATTTGACCAATATTTTTGAATTTTGAATGAAACGAAATTCTAACTTATTCTGTTTTGATTCACCTCAAAAACTAGTATGTACCGATCCTATCAATCGGTACAGTATGGTACAGACTACCTTGGGTTTACCCCAATCTAAAACTAGGGCATCCTTGCGGCACCAGTGTAACAACAAATCTATTCAAGAAGTACTGGCAGCACGACTTCAACTTACCCAAAAAATTCGAACTTACCCACTAAGCCAACCCTCTGGAATCTGGACTATAAAGGTCTGTTCTGTTGACCACTGTATAAAGAATGGGGATTGCTGGATTTCCTTAGCTGTCAACCCTAACAAGGCTTTTGTGTATGATTTTAGGATCTTGCTAGGGGCTGGGTTTTAGGCTTTCCTACGAACCACATAATCTTAAGTCAAACGATGAGGGTCTCAATTTTTAATTGAAATTACTTTGATCCTCTAACTTTTTTGTTTTTATCATTTTTGTTTTTTAAATTATTTATTTCACACCATTTTAATCGTTTTCTTTTAGTTTTTTTTTTTTCTAATTTTTTGGAAGCTACTTTTGATGATGTTGTGCAAGACGAGGAAAATGGAGATAATATAAGATGAAGGAAAATGAAGATTAATTAAATGATGTTATTTTATTGTAGTCAATAGTGCTATTAAAAAATAGAGTAATTCATCAATAAGTCATGAGTTACTTGATTAAGTTTGATTTAAGTTCGGCTCATTTGTTAAATGAATTGAACTTGAGCTTAATATTGAGTTCAATAAAAAAAATAAGTTTAAACTCAAACTTTTATGATTACTCATATAAAAAAAATAAGTTTAAACTCAAACTTTTATGATTACTCATGAGTTATTTGTGAGTATTTAGTTTTAAATTAAAAATTATATTATATATTTCTTTATTAAATTTACATATATTATAATAATAATGTATTCATTGGCTTGAACTCGCCTGAATTTTTGTAAACTTGAGCACTAGTTCAATTATTTTAAATTTGACAAATACTTAAATTTAAAATTTTAAGGTAAGTTCAAGTGTGAATATTTAATTACTTAATTTGACTCATTAACAATTCTATAAATTAGTTAATAATTTATAGGCAAAAGTATGGTATAAAGACTCGAACTTGCACTAAATTTGTAATTTCAAACCCGAACTTCAATTATGCTAAGTTAAGAAATTCTCAAACTATAAGAAATTCTCATATATGATTCCATTTGGATGAAAAATTAACTTATTGTCAAATGTCTTACTAATTTCATTAATGTTCGTTAACTTACCATCTGTAGTAGCAATATATTTTTAATGGAGTCAGTAAAACATTAAATGGTAAGTTAATTTTTCATCAAACTAGAACCTTATTTGAAAATTTTATGTAATTTAGGAATTTAATAAATGCAATTGAAATTTGGGTTTGAAATTGTCAATTTGGTGCAAGTTCAGGTCCTTATACTATACTTTTGCCTAATTTATATTTATATTAATCAATCATTAAAATATAAAAATTTTATAATATAAGATCTTATGATCCTATTTATGATACCACAACTTATGATCCTATCCATAAAAATATACAAATTAATATAGTATAAGGTCTTTCGAATCTCGATTGTCCTCTAAACGCTGCTATTTGATCTTTTTTATATTGAGTTTTTTTTTTTTTTTAATATCATACAGCAGCAAATAAGAATACAAAAAGTACAACGTCATGTAATAAATAGAGAATACTAAACATCAAGGCATTCTGCTATCAAATATATTATGACATTTAATTATAATTGTAATTATAAAATAAATAAGATATGATACATAAGTTAAAATTAAACATTAGGATGCACGTTCAGATTCACTTTTTATAAGAAATATATATATAAAAGGAATCTCAGAAATTTTATATTCTGCCGCAAGGCTCCAACATAGGAGCAGTAAAAGCATAGGAGGCCAGGCTAACAAAAAACTATCATGATGCGTAGTTTTATCTGTTTTTTAAAAAATAATAATCGTTGTTAGTATTAAATTACTGTCTCTGTTGTTGTTGTCTTCTTCTTCTTTTTTTCCTTTTTTTTTTTTTTTTGAAAATAGGCAAGTGTCTCCGTTTTTTTAATGTGTTAATTAGTGTGTGTTTAATTTATGCATGAACGATGCCATTCTTCTCAAGTCATGAACAGCATTTTTATTTTTTCATTTTTTTAGTCATGAACACTGCCATTCTTCTCTAGTCAAATTGGTGACAATAGATGGTAGTAACTAATCCCAAGGGACAATCTATAAGACAGCATGAAGCATTGTGCTTTTTAGAGTGCTTTCTTTTTCTTTTCTTTTTCCCCAATAAAAAAAACATTCATATATTAATTAAACAAGACAAAGAAGTTCGGAGTGCATTCTAAAAAAAACAAAAAAAAGGTTTAGAGTGCTTGCTTGATTCTTGGCTAAGGTTGTTGTGACTAATAATTTTGTTAAGATTATTAATTTTAATTGTAATTTTATTAATTTATAATTTTTTAAAATAATTAATTATGATATTTATAAATATTT